GTGGAGGCATTGTGTGTGCATTTCCCCCTTTTTTTCTTTTGGCTTTTGGTATAGTGGGATTATCTATTGTCTATTTTTTCATGAGTGTAGTTAACTTCCTTGCATTGGAGTTTTCCTTCCAGAACTTTTTTTAGGGCTGGATTGTGGATATGTATTGTTTAAAACAGGTTTTGTCATATTCTGTTTTCTCCATTTATATTGATTGAAAGCTTTGCTGATTGTAGTTCTGGGTTGGCATCCATGGTCTCTTGGGGTCTGTAGAACATCTATCTAGGACCTTCTGACTTTCAGAGTTTCGATTGAGAAGTTGGATGTAATTGTGATAGGTCTGCCTTTACATGCTACTTGGCCTTTTTCTTTTGCTGCTCTTAATATTTTTTCTTTATTCTGTAAATTTGTTTTGATTATTATGTGGCAAGGGGATTTTGTTTTGTGCTCCAGTCTATTTGGTGTAAGCTTCTTGTACTTTCATAGGTATACTGTTCTTTAGGTTGGGAGAATTTTCTTCTATGATTTTGTTGAATATGTTTTCTGTACCCTTGAGCTTTATTTCATGGCCATCTTCTATACCTATTAATCTTATGTTTGGCCTTTTCACAATGTTCCATATTTCCTGGACATTTTGTGTTAGGGATTTGCTGGACTTAAGATTTTCTTTGGTCAATGACTTTATTTCCTGTAATGAGTCTTCAACGCCTGAGATTCTCTCTTCCATCTCTTGTATTCTATTGCTTATACTTACATCTGTACTTCCTGATCATTTACCCAGCTTTTCTGTTTCCAGAATTCTCTCACTCTGTGTTTTCTTTATTGTTTCTATTTCAACTTTCAAGCCTTGTACTGTTTTAATTGTTTTCTTCACTGTTTGGTTGTTTTTTCTTGCCTTTCCTTGCTTTAAGAGATTTGTTTACTTCTTGAAAAATTTTTTTGTTGTCTTTCCCTCCATTTCCTGTATTTTTTGTTTGTTTTTTCTTCCATTTCTTTAAGGGATTTTCTCTTGAGAGTCTCTATCATCTTCATCTAGCTACTCTTGCTGATAGAGTCCCTAGATTCTGGTGTTGTCATTTTGGTCTCTCTGTTGTTGAATGTGTTCTTATACTGTTGTCTTCCTATCCCTTCTTCCAATGCATGCAGGTGCAATCTCTTTCTTTCCTCTCATCTCCTGGTGGTTGTAAGTGGGTCAACTCTTTGATGTCAGCATCTCTGGATGGTCCGTGCTCTTTTGGAGTTTTCAAGCAGAGGGCATGGGGCGGGGCAAGATTCTGATAAGGGCAAACTCTGAATCCTCTAGCATGCCAGGACAGGTCCATTCAAACAGAGGGTTTAGGGGTGCCAAGACTCAAGCAGAGAGAGTAATGGGGCGAATACAGCAATGAGGGCCTGCTCCCGATTGTTTGGCATGCCAGGATGAGTCCACTACTCTTGGAGCAGATCCAGGAAGTTCCAAGAAGGGAATGGGGTTAGTTGGGCCTGAGCGGGCCTCACACTCACCTCAAGCAGAGGGTGTAGGATGGGCCAAGACTGCCATTTCAATTTTTAAACATACTACCAATATCTGCATTGTTTTCTTTTGGCTTTCATGTTTCCATTTTTCTCAAAAATCTAAATTTTGGTGCAGTACTAACTTTTTATTTCCACAAAATTTTCCCTAATGTATAATATCAATACAACTCATTGTGTTATTAAAATTAAAGATAAACTTATCCACAAATAAAGAAAGTATTTTGTAGTATCCAGTTATTCCAATATGCTTTATTTTGTACCTGTAAATTTTAATTTTTGATTGTTTCTTGCTCCTCAGCATTCTCTGAACAAGCACTAGAGCTGAAAGGTTTTGAGTGAATGATTGTACCCTCAATTCATATGATACAGTTCTAACATCAGTGCAGTGGTATTAGGAGATGGGGCCTCTGGAAAGTAATTATAGATCATGAGAATGTAATCCCCAGTATTCTACTGGTAGCCCTTAACATGCACTTCAGAACTGCCTCACTGCATTATAGAGAAAAAGCAAGAATGTGGTCTTCTGTGCTCAAGAGGATAGCTCTCAGTTGGGGATAATGACAGGATTCTTGATATTGAGCTTAGAAGTTTCTGAACTGAAAGACATAAATACCTGCTTGTACCCAGTCGACAGGACTTTGTGGATGTGGGACAAAATTATCAGGGTAGTATTTTTCAGGGCACAAGAAAGTTTACAGAATTACCCAAGAGTCTTCAATCAGTGCTTCATGGCTCCAGTAAATAAAATTATTTTTAGAATGAATATAATCATACTGGAAAACTGAGTATTTGAAGCTTGATTAATTGGGAAGAATAATGCCTACATTTGTCCCAGAAGTCTAGGAAGTAGAAAATCCAAAAGGGCCAACTAATGTTGACTTCTGACAAAAACCATTTAGGTTAAAACTCAGTGGATTTATTCCCTAGCGAGTGTCCTGGAGATACAGTCTTGAGAACACAGTGCTCAACTTCTCAAAGCCTCCACCTTTGACTCTATAACAGATGAATCTTTCTTAGTGGCACTAACTTGGAGAGCGTGGTTGTTTTTATTACCTGCCCTCTGAGTTCATAACGGTATGAAGAACATGTGCCAGAGAGGAGTGCTTCCACAATTTTCTAGTTTAAGTGTGCTGAAATAGTGTTTGTTAATAACACAGAAAGTATCCTCAAATGGCGTACTGAAGGAGCTCATTTCTCCTAGATTATGGGTGGATAGGGCTAATCACTCTATACTATTACATCAATAGCATATACCAAGGAACTGGATTGAAAATGGTGAAAAACATGGTGGCAACACAGAATCAAGTGTTTCGTCTAAAATTAACATTTCCACTATAGTAAGATGCATTTTTTTAGTATTTGTTCTTATTGAATCCCATTTTCTTAAGTTACCTCCATTTTGTAACCTGTAACACATACACAGTTTTTTTTTAACTTTCTTGGATGACATAATCAAAAGCCTATCTGCAAAACTGGTGAGAGCCCCCATGCACACAACATTGCTCAACACAGCTTTCTGGGTCTATAAATACCAAAGAGAAACACCCAGCCTTAAGTTCATATGCCTCCTGCAGAGCACAAGAAGGCCTGGCAATCTGTGTTCCATGTTTTAGAGGAGAGTAGAGTCTGCTCTTCTAGGAACAGTGTGTTAAAGTTTTCACAATTCCATAGCTTAAAAGAGAAGCAAACAGGCAGTCTGGAAAGGGTTGAGACCAGAGTATCATGATGCTATGGTTAGTCAACTCCATAGGCACATCTGGAGAGCAATTGCAATCCATGAACCATGCAAAATTGTAAATGTGGCTTGTGGAGAATAAGGGCCTTTTCTATCTGACATTATATTGACTGGGCTCTTGCTCTTCCCTCTAGAGAGGTCCTTCAGCCTGTTCTGTAAACAGAGAAGCAAGTCAGGGGTTCCTCTTACATGCAGGAGCTTGGCAGATCACCCTGAACTTGCTTTAGCCGGAGCATACCCAGGCGTCATGGTCAGTGGGTATCTTGCAGCTTCAAAGGTTAGTCCACTGCTCAAAGGGAGACATTGCAATGACCCAGGATTCCTGGCAGATTTTATTTCAGTTGCTGGAAGTTCCTCAACAAGGCACACAAGCTCTCCAGCTGCCTGGAGAGCCTGTGAAATGCATGCAGCAGGGCTCCCGGACAAGGTTTAGAAAGCAGCTTGCACTACAGATCCAGCCCAGTCTCTGCATCTTGATTTCACTAGAACAGATGTTATCTGCAAGCAATTAACATACTTGTCATCACCAGGGAGACAGACACAGAGTTCTTCAGGTCGTTGCTTACAATGTTTTAATGTACCCTAAAGAAAAGTGTGCTCAAAGCAAAAATTTCACATTGATATTAAGACAGCATTCATTGAAAAAAGGGGCGTGTGTCTATTGTTTTTCTCTCTCAGTTTTTAGAAAAAAAATTCTAATATTTCTTATCATTAGAGAATAAAATTCACCGGCAACATAAAACACTAATGTAACTGGCAATGCAATTTTAACAAGGTTAACTGTGATTGTTATCTACGTTCATACATTGATTGACAGAATTTGCCATTTGATTTATTTTCATCCATTTCAATTTATCAAAATTACTTGATTTTATATGTTTCTATATGTTGATTTTATGTTTCATATTTTAGTATGTGATTTGTAATATTTACATAAAAGTAAAATAATAAAATGTTGATGTTATGCCTTGAAAGATCAATATGATGAAAATGTTTGATAATAGTCTAAGTAAGATGTTCTAGCATAGATGATAGAAGAAAAACAAAGTAACAATTTTAAGTTCTTAAATTGCTTAAAAAATGCCGAAACAACATAATATGTTTCTATTAGACAGATACACTTTTGAAACTAAATTATTTCCTTATAGCCTGACTCTAACCTGATTGTCCTAAGTATCTGCCCTCATTTAATTCATAGTTTTTATTTAACATTCATTTGTTCACTTTTTAGAAGATAGTGACAATTTGAAAGATTTCATACTCTGACCACAAACATTCCTGCAGAGGTTGAGTAATTTCCTCTTTTCTCTCATATTTTCATTAATACTAAGGCAGCAGGGATACTCTCAAGGCAATGCCATCCAGTCAGCTCAACTGGCTTCAGGATGTAAGCTTCAGTCACAAAAGAGACCCTGATGCAGAGTCTACGCTAAACAGCAGTATTGTATCTGAAGTGATGTAATAGTTACTGCTACTGAATGAAGACATGGGGCAGTCAACATGTCATGGGCTGAAATCTGATGCTCTAGGTCACCTTCAGAGTCCACGGTTTTACTAACTGATGGCCTTCAAAACTATTTTTATCCAAAGGAAGTTTTTATTTTATCTAAAAGTGATTATTTTATTCAGAAACATGCCTTACGTTGTGTAAAGTGATCGCTAAAGCTTAACAGAACAAATACTGTTTATTTTGGAAGATTTCCCCCCCTTTTCCATTATATCAGAATTCCACTGTACTTCCCCATTTATCTTTACAGTCTCATCACCTATGAAGCTGCCCTGTAAGGAGTAACTATTGAAACATCTGCTAATGTTGATGACATGAAACCTCTCCAAGCAGAACCTGGATAACATGACCTTTTTGCCTAAGGGAGAAGTGAAATCCTGATAACCTCATGTGATGCCCTTAGAGCATTTCTTGACCAGTCCTTCACAAAAAACCTGTCAAGACACTGAGGTGACAAGCCTGTGTGTATTTTAGAGAAGAGGGACATTCAGTCATTTCAAGAATGCTTTATCAGGGTTGACTCTAGTTGGAATGTGTGACTCATCTGTGAACTTATTGATCCATTCAGTAGGCTTCCTGAAAGCACATTTCTTACAACAATTGACAAGACAAACACTAACTCCTTGTCCCAAAAGACTTCTTCTGCTGGACAAGATTAGAAATAAAATATGTAAACCCGTAATTAAATGAAGAAATATGTTAGAAGGATAAACTTCCAGTAAAAAGGAACCAACAAGTTACTATGACAGAGATAAGCAGGGGAAGGGGGACAGTTGGTTAGAGAGTATCTGGAATTGGATATATAAGGTGTGGCATTAGCAGGGCAGAGATCGGGAGGTCCCAAACTAACAGGCTGACTAGAGCATAGTAGATTCTAATAGTTCTCAGAAGCTAATATGGGTGATGCCCAGCAAGGGGATTGGGAATATCTAGAAATATTTTCAGAATAGCAACAGTGGTGTTACTGGCTAATATGGGCTCTTGTACAGTGAAATAGTAGTGCCAATATTTTGAAATTACATTCTTAGAGAACTTCAAGTGGGCAGTGTTCTAACAATGAAATCATTTATATGCTAGGATAAGAGCTTTTCTTTTGTTCCAATGAAGAGCTATTGAAAGACACAAGAGTGAGAAGATGTATTTTTATTAATATGAAAACATACTCTGCATTGAAGGTGAAAGGTAATTGCTTAACATCCTTTCCTCTCTTCATGTCTATTTTATGTGTGCTTATAGTCTTATTAGCCTCTTGAGAATAGAGGCTATCAGTCTTGCTTATTACTGCATATTGTGAAATCTTGCTTAGTTAAAATTTTATTCTGAATATTCATGTGTGTATATGCATATGTATGTACATGCTCGAATGTGTGCCCTTGCATGTGGTTGGCAGAGGTCCTCTGCTTCTCTGAACTTTTTTTTTTTTTGAAGCACAGTCTCTCACTGAACCTAGAACTAGTCAATCTAGCAAGATAGTTGACAACCAAGCACCATGTATTCCAGAGTTAGAATTAAGTCACAATTCACCACAGTCAGTTTTCTACATAGATACTTGAGACTTGACTTCAGTTTCTCTAATTTCATAACAATTTATTGAGCCATCTCTCTAGCCTCTTTAATTAACATGTAAAATTTTATTTATTTTATTTTTATGTGTGCACCATGTTTATTCCTAATGTGTCGCGACTGCCTTGACCAGCAAAGAAGACTCGACTCGGGAACTCTTCTCCAAGCGGTTTATTCAGGAACCTTGAAACAGTCTTCTTCTCCCCTGGGAAAACCAGCCCACAGCTTATATGGCCTAGGCATAGCCAACCCCAGCACGCCACTTGGCGACAGCAGATAGGTCCACATACACTGAAGCAAGCTGTGGACCTGAGCCTTGACCAAATATGGAGTTGTTTACTCCGAGAGTGCTCACCGTTGGGAGGGTGGTAGGCAGGAGCTGGCGCCATTTTTAAGGTAAGGCATGTTGCAGCTCTCCACACTAATGCCCATGGAAGTCAGAAGGGGGAGGCAGATCGCTGCACAGGCCTGTGAGCTGCTGTGTGAGGGCTGAGAATCAAACCTGGGTCTTTTGTAAGAGCAACCAGTGCTCTTAACTGCTGATCATTCTCTCCGGCCCTTGTAATTATTTTTATTGTTAATAGCTGTGCTCAATACTTACTAATTTCTACCCACTAGAACTATGAGCTGGATTATTTGTCTTCACAATTATAATGGTTTCTATTTTGTGTCATAACTTTATTTGAGATTTTCTTTATTGTGGCTAAGATTTTAATGAGAGGATATTTGCATGAACTGACAAACATTTGTTGTCTCTTTAGCCTGCAGTTACTGTATGCAATCCCGCAGTACCTAAGAGTCAGTTTGTTAGGATTGCTACAACAACTACTATAGAAATTTTGTGGCTGATATTGGGGAAATATAGGAACTCTAATATTGAGCTGACCTCCAGATTATAGATAGCACATTCTAAATGTGTCTCCATGTGCTTGAAGTGATAAGACAGTTCTTGGACCTCTTTAATAAGGATGGTAATTCATTTTATTAGAACTAGTCGCCTTTAAAAGACTCCTCTTCCTAGTACCATTATTGTGGTGATTAGGTATCGTCATATGAATTTGGGTGGTAAAAACAGAGAGAGGAAGAGTACAGAGGGAGAGGAGAGAAAAAGGCTACAATCAGAGACTTTTGGGAAGAGGCCCCAGAGGTGGAAGAAACAGGAAACATTAAGGCAGATCAGATCACAATGCAGCAAAGAAAAAAGCTCATCTCCTAGTTTCACTACTCACCACGAATACTCATAATTATGTCAAACCTTTCTTCCTCTGTGCCTTGCTCCTTAAGCTTTTTATTTTGTCTTCTCACATCAATGAGTCAATCATTTTAAAATTATAATAATTATATCTAACTTGTCAGATATAGTAAATTAAATGCAGACTAGAATGGTGATGAAAATAGTCCTTTAAAAATTAGAACTCTAGCCAGGCGGTGGTGGCGCACGCGCAGATCTCTTTGAGTTCGAGGCCAGGCTGGTCCGACAGCCTCCAAAACAATACAGAGAAACTCTGTCTCGTAAAACCAAAAAAAAAAAATTAGAACTCTAAGAGCTGGGCAGTGGTGGCTCATGCCTTTAATCCCAGCACTTGGGAGGCAGAGGCAGGCTCTGTGAGTCCAAGACCAGCCTGGTCTACAAAGCAAGTTCCACGACAGCCAAGGCTACACAGAGAAACCCTGTCTCAAAAAACCAAAGGGGGGGAAAAAAAGAAAAACAAAATTATAATCCTTCCCTTTCCATCTCTTTTATAATTATACCTGTTTTCACAAAGTAAAGATAAAACCATTTTATCACACCACATATTATAAAATAATTGGCTTCTTATTTAATAAAATTTAATGCTGGATTTGTGTTTGCTGAAAGTTATCTAAAATCAGATTTTGCTATTGTAGCAGCCATTCCCAAGTCTTAGTGGCATATCGTGTACTCTGCTATTGTAGACTCTAGCCTGCATCGTTCCATTCATCCTGGGAGAACAGAGGCTGAACCATTTTGCATCAGTAACAATTGAAACATGGAATATGCTCAGTGACTGGGAAGGGGAAGAATTATTACTAGTATTACTGGTGGAATTTTCACCTCCTGAAACTGGAAATGATACATTCTCACTTCACTGGTCAAGACTAGTCACATTACGGTTTTAACTGTAAGGGGGCTAATGCAGAAGCGTGAGCAGAAAGAAATTAGTTGAGTAACCCTTACTGTCTAATGCTGTTCACATCACTTTTGGAAGGGTAACAAACCTAAGGCTTTTCATTGATAGTTGTTGGATCATATTTCTCTTTCAAGTCTGGACTGTGTGTCTACTCCTGCTTGTCTTCAGTCAGGGCACAGTGAGTATCATCCATTCACTAGTTGCTCCAGATGCATTTTTACAGTTCTCCTTCATGTGCAATATTAAATAAACAGATGCCATTCCTAATTAGGACTCTCCGTTTCCTCCTACCAAATATAAAATGTACCAAGTCGCTTTCAAATTAGAGGATTTCTTTGTTTATTTATATATCTCATGATCTTGGAACAGGGTTTGCCAGGCTAGGTAGTCTTAGAGCTGTTGACTGTCCCAAGTGAACTCTTCATTTGCTGATTGACTTCAAGCACAATTTCAAGAAATATGAGGTCATCTTCCAATTTTTAAATGAGATGCAGTTGTTCTATATTTCCCAAGTGACATACAGTGCTGGCAGCAGCACCTAGATGGTGTCATCATCATTGTAACACTGATGTTACAAATGTTCAGCTGTATTTTTACTTATGTTAGAAAACTGAATTATATCAATAAATTTGCAGAAAAAGAAACATGGCTTAAGTGTTTTTTTAGAATTATCATTCAAATATAGTTCTAACATTCAACTTGAACACTGCTATGAAACATTTCTGGAGCTGTTGCATAGTCATCTGAATCATGCTGTCAAAGGAATTATTGTATCAATTTGAAAGTTAAGATTAAGGACTTCTGTGTTCTAGAATGTTCCATTCATTCCTAGGAATCATTTATTTAAGTGATTGGCCATGTTTATTGACCTTTTGTCTTTTTTCTCTGTCTTTTACTATTAGATCCTGAGTTTAAAAGTGGGATATTTTCTGGCCACTTTTAACAAGAACAGTTTGGGGCTGCCAAGGTGGCTCAGAGGTAAAGTGCTTGCCACACGAGCTTTCTGATCTGGGTTTGATCTCCATAGAGCCTGTATTAAGGTGGAAGGAGGAATTCACTTCATGAAGTTGACCTCTGACATGCAAATGCATCTTGAATCCTCTAGAATGGCAGAATTCTAATTTCTGTATAAGACTTGTCAAGGATGAGAACTCATGGAAATCCTAACATTTTTTGTAAGCAATAAAATGATTCCATCTACTTTTAAAAAGCTTCTGATTGTATTGTGATATGGTTAGACACTGCATCTTCTTACAATCAAGCAGTTAATTCATGTGTTTGATTAAATTGGGCAAATATATCTGGTGGGATTTTTGTCTTCATTTATGAACCAAGAACAGTTTTCTATACAATTTTCTCCTTCTTCTAAGTGTTCCTTCCCTGAGAAAGCAGTTGATGAATTAACCAGACCAAGGAATATTTAGTTCTTCTAAATAAGGCTGGAGTTTAAAGAATATATCTCAGTAGCTGCTTCCCAGGGCTCTAAATGCTGGTGTGGTCCTGAATTTATCATAACAATTAAGCACATCTTCAATCTTGTTGCCCGGAGCATACAATTCTTTGGACCCTCTGGAATCGATAATGCTTCTCTGAGAAGTAATATGTACTTTTCATTCAGATAAACTGCTCAAAGGTAATGCAAGTAGGCAATGCCCAGGAGAAGCCAGGAAAGGGATTGGAAAAGTTGTGAGGAGTCCAGCAAATAACACAGTTGTGGAAACAGACAAAAGGAAAAAGAATCTGTGCTATGGTTTTGTTTATTTGCTTAGGTTTTGTGTTTGGTTTGGATTATGGTTTGGTTTTGTTTTTCTGGCACAGCATTTTAGATAAAGATGAGAACTGAGTGGCATCCAGTGGTATTTCCTGTAGTCCTCACACTTGAAAAGTGAGTATAGTAGAATCAAGAGTTCAAGATCATCCATAACAGCATAGCACGTTCAAGGTCAGCCTGGGCTTCCTGAAGCTTTATCTCATAAGACAGACAAACAAAACAAGCCATGCATAAACAAAATGTCTTATGAGAAATGAGCAACACATACACACATATGCATATGATAAAGGAATGGTCTTTTTGCCAGAGCTCACACAATGCAAACTATAGGTGAAAAAAGAAAAACCAATTACAGATTTTCAGATTTCTGCATTTTTTGTGGATGCTCACTGATTTCAATCTTGAGAACCTCAGCAAGTTAATATTTATATTCTCAGTTCCAAGATAGAAGTACAAATCAGAAATGAAGCAGACTGAGGGGAAGGTAACTTCTTCAGGCTAACTCATAAATTGTGATTTTTTAAATCTATGTTTTGCTCTTATATTTTTGAAAATTCTACATTTTGTTAGTTTGATTATACTTAACTATTTTCCTTATTTATTTTATTTGTCTCCTCTTAAAGAAAATACACACCCCACTGTCTATCATATTTCATATATTTTTAAATGTCATGTCTCATTCATTGTAGATTGTAATTTAGATGTGATATTGTCTTTAACAAAATGTAGTCTTCTGCCTACTAGTTAATTTATTGGAATTTTCCATGTTTGGTTTTGTTTGCTTTTCTTTCAGACTGTTGGCAGCCTGGCACATGTATATCAATTCTGCATCAGCCTAATCATTCAGAAGATGTACTCAAACAATAAGCATGATAGAGGCTTTAGAAGTTAGAGGTGGGAAAATGAGGGAAAAGTGAAGATAAAACTTGGTCTTCCCAATATTTTATCACGGGTAGGGAAAAAGACGAGAAACAAATCCATATGGGAGAAAAGTGAATTGAAAGGGAAGAAGAGCCAGGCATTCGTGGCACACGCCTTTAATTCCAGCTCTCAGGAGGCAGAGACATGTGGATCTCTGTGAGTTCCAGGCCAACTGGTCTACAGAGCGAGTTCCAGGATACCTCCAAAGCAATACAGAGAAACCCTGTCTTGAAAAACCAAAAAAAACAACAACAACAACAACAACAACAAAAACAAAAGAGAGGGAGAAGAAGAAGGAAATGTAGAAACATGAGGCTGTAAGGACAGAATATCCTTTTGGGTAATTTCTAGAAAACATGCCTGAGAGTACACTGAAAACAACGAGCTAGTTGATTTAATTTACTGGCTCTAAAAATGTGAAGAACAATAACCCCTCACCCAAAATACCTGATATTCAGGATTGCACTCCTAGTTCTGATCCCAAATACATCCTAAGTTGATACATGAGTATAATTTGTCACATAAGTAAAATAACGCCTTTGAAGGATGCGCAAGATACAGTGCTGTTTCTTAGTGGGTAGTAAATAGATAACTACTACATTGAGGATCTAGTAACAGGTAGTCCTTTTTTCCTGTCTCCTAATGCCTTAGACTTTCCAACACATTATATTCATTTATGGCTATATATTTGGGGAAATATGACAGGTGAAAACTTTCATTTCGTATTTTAGTTACTTGACTTTAAAGGAAGAAGTTTTATACATGGACATGGGATAGCATTGTCATAGGCATAGGTATCAGGGAAAAGGACCACAGAGACACAAAGTGAAAGTGTCAGAGAATGTAAGCGATCTCCTATCATCACTCCCAGTGATACCCACAGGGAGCTGAAGAGCATCACACAGAATAATGGCATATAGTACAAAATAGAATGGAGGCTGTGTATGCAGTGGCAACTCCTGTAGCTTGGTAGCATCTTTCAGAAGTACACAGTTGAGATAATCACCAGAGGTCATGCATATGAGCATCTACAAAGATGTACTGATTGAGTGACAATGTCTTACGTGGCCTTCAAGAGACATAAAACATAATGAAGACAACGAATTGCCAATTCTGACACACTCTACTTGTGCAGTTACCTTTACACAATTTGGTAAATTAACTAGCCTGACAGAAAACTACAAAAGGTAGAATTAGTATGCAATTGTTGAACTCACATTTTGCTGAAAAGTACTTGAAATAGGGGCTGAATATCAATTTGATGAGTGATCAGAGTTCTTCAGGGTAAGCTGATATGCACACATACACACACATCCAACTACATATATAACAAACTGAGTGGGAATAATAAGAATGAATCACCCCATGGCACAGATTATTTCACAATTCTATTGTTTAAAAGAAGGAAGAGATGTCTCAATTCTAAGCAAAGATGACTGAAATTGACTCCCATGACAGAAGTCAAATGAAAACTGCCATTTAATTACAACATTTTAGAAAAGTTCAATTTTATCTAGATTATGAAAATTTTGGGGTTGAAGTCAATTAAAAAGTACAAGTGAAGTAGGTTAAACTTGCGGTTTGTGTGGTTTTACCATCCAACGACATGTGGGAAGCATTCTTGGGTGGAAGAAAAGCATCACAAAAGTTTAGAATTCTCTGATCCTGTGGTTTGTGAGATGTCAATTTTCCTGGTACGTGCGTGCACGCGTGTGTGTGTATGTCTGCATGTGTGCATATAATTATTGTAAAGCCAGGTGGGAACTGTTCTATAAATGGACTCTGATGAATTAACTATAAATAAATTAACATAGAGAATTATATTTCCACTAAGATATTAGAAGACTTAAAATTGAATGGCAAACTAGGTTAAAAAATGGTGTTTAGGCTTTACATGAACCAGAACATTTGTAAAAAAAATAGTTTTAAAATATTAGATTATCTCAAGTTGTATTTCAGCTCAAAATCCTTAGTTACACTGTTTTCCTATATTCAGATTCCCTAAGATCCCTGTGCAATAGATGGTGAAACTATTGCTCCTTGGGGAGGAGAAGCTCAGTTCTCTGATTTTGGTCCCCTGCTCATTCATCAAACCACACTGGAACTTGTCCCTGGTCAGATAACATATAAGGCCACCATGCAAGTTCTAACAGCCACCTGGGAGAAATGATTAAAATCATGTGGCTAAGCTCTTCAAAACATATAGAAAAATTGATATGCCTGTCTCCATGGGAGGAAAAGAAATCCACATGAATAATGACTTCAATGGAGCCTTGGGTGTTGCTGAATGTCCATTGTGTATTCTGTAGTGCAGCCAAAATTTCTAATCTGAAGGATTGTGGTGTTGGCCAGGAGGAGACTAAAATAAATGTATGGGATATGGGGAATAGTTTACATGTGGTTTTGTGAGACTATTCTTTTAAAAGCAAAACATTTATTCTTTCCCTAGCTCACTGTATTGTTTTACATTTTAAAGATGGTATCATTTCAGTTTAGTGAGTTGACTAGAAAGATAAGGAGATATGACTGTCATTTACTAGGTGGACTAATTTAGGTAAGTGTTGTACATGGTATATGGTATAAATGAATAGGAAAAAAAGCCCTGGGTAATGAATAATGAGTGAGTGAGTGAGAGAATGAGTGAGCAAACTGGTGAAATGTTCACTGGTCTATAATAAAGTGAGAACATTAGAATGGACTATTTACAAGCCCAGATTGTAATTTAAAGGAATGTTCTTGATTTTGAGACCACATATGTACTGTATTTGTTGTTCCTAGGTGTATTTCATTTCTTTTGATTCATCTTTCTGTGAAATCCACTTTCTGACAAATAGCACCAGTATGTTTTCATGAGCTCCTACAAGCGGATTAGGTGCTACCCTTTCCTCACCTGCTTGAGAAGCACATTTCTTTCTAAAGGAAATCTCATTCCTCAAGCACTTTTGGGAATGAGTCTATAACAATTGCTCGAACAACCTTGAGTCTCTCATCTCAAGCCTCAGGATAATCCCAGTTTCTCCCACTTTTTGGAGCAGATTGTTCCTAGACAGTTATCAAGACAAAACAGGTATTTTCTACTATCTCCCTTTCGTATCCACCTGGAAGAATGATGAAAATTAGCAATTACCTTTACTTTTGTTTCTTTCTAAGATGATCAAAACAGCTTTCTTTCTTCTTCTTCTTCTTCTTCTTCTTCTTCTTCTTCTTCTTCTTCTTCTTCTTCTTCTCCTTCTCCTCCTTCTCCTCCTTCTTCTTCTCCTCCTCCTCCTCGTCCTCGTCCTTGTCTTCGTCCTCCCTCTTCTTCTTCATTGGCTCTGGTGTTATTTATTTGAGTTCAAATGTTCAAATGCCAATCTTTATTGTAGATTACCATATGCAGTCTCCTATGAACCAAATGAGCCATGGGGTCAAGTTCAACAGGCCTGACTGATTCTTACACAGGGTAAACC